TATGGATTATTTCTGGTTTTTGTGTAGCATCATTCAGTGTTGGAGTATTGTGCATAGATGATAATAAAATCACCATGTTACTGGGTTTTGGGCAGTATGAAACAAGAGTAATATCACGATCAAAAGCATGTTCTTTCTTTTCTATCATTATTGGAGGAATCTCCCTTTAATTATGCTGAAGTATATCAACTACTGTCAGTTTTTCAGAGAGCAGAGATACTGAAGTAAACCAATTGTTCATAGTAAGTCTCTATGTGTACCTCGGATGTCCTCTGTCAAAGCACATACAAGCTGCTCAGCAAGGCATTTTCCTCTAAGGAAAGTGCCACTACCCAAGTATGGAACATGATAAATCATATGCGTAACTATCACAAATGAGAACTGTTTTTAACCCGTACTTAGCAGGTTTTCTTGGAATACACATTCTGAAGCCACATCTCTCTCTAAACCCAAAAGGCTTTTCATCAATAGTGGTACAATTTGACATTTAGTTAACACTAATTTCCTGGATATTGGGTTTCTGTAACTGATGTTTTTTACTTTCATTTGTTATAATTTTCTCGTGTTCTTCATTATATTGATTAAAATATTTTGCAACTCCGTAAAACTTTAAACCAGATTTTACTCCATCCAAAAGACCTTATCCAACTCCAAAGCATGCAGAATAAGTAGTAAATGCAAAATTCCCAATGAGACATGTCGTGAAATCAATTATAATGAAACAAGCTGAACATTAAATACATACATTAAAGAACATAAAAAATTTTAATTTCTGTTGGATCGACATCTCAGGCTTAGCATATCTTATTCTTACACAAAGTTACATTCTAGATTGGAAAAATAGTAGTTATAGCCAAACTCAGTAATAATTTTCAATGCATTTTTTGACGAATCATGGCAAATCCTAGGAGATAGAAATTATATGAATATAGGTATCAGTATAACTGTACCAGTAAAGTATCAAGTGTTACTTCTGTAAACATTATAAATCACTTACATTGATTCACAACACACAGTAGCCACTGGGGAAGATACTAGTTTGTGTTGAACCGTATAGTATGTTTTTAACTATTGGTTTTAACCTTTGTGTTTTAAACTTGATTGCTTCTGGGACATTATTAAAACAGTATTAATATTATTTACCTATACTTATAACTCGTTTATATTTAAAATTATAGTTGTGGATAAAAAATCATACATCAATAACCAATATAGAAAGTAGTCTCTGGCTTGTCATGTTTTGATAACAATTCTCAGAAACGTTGCAGTGATGAAAGAGGTTGGCAAAACATTTTTATGAACAATAACTTTTAAATGTCAATTTTTCTCACAGTATATATAAACTATACAGTTGTGTATGAATTTAGAAATACTAGTAAGCTTAAAATATACCATAGGATACATACTGTAGAGACACTGTGCAGTATTATAACTGGTGTCAAAAAACTTAGAAGTAATAAAAAGAAAGGATTCCCAATGGAACAAAATCTTACATTTGTGATGTTTGTGAGCAAGTACATCATAGGACACACACACACACACACACTATTAAGAATTGTGTTGTGGATGGAAAAGTGTCCAATTGAAACTTCAGAAAATAGACATCTGGGAGCACTCTGATAGCTGCTATATGTGTGTGTGGGAAAGGATTTGAAAGAAGAACGTAGATCAATCTTGGGAAAAGATTATTATTATTAATATATGTATGGCAAAAATATTAAATAAAATATTGATCAAAAAACACTTGTGAAGTGTATAAAGCAGAGGAATAGTTCTATGCTGTATGACAAAAGATTGTAGGAAGTTGATCTTGAAAATAGATCAGAGAATATACATTTTTGAGAAACCAAGTGGCTGTGATGTTGTGGGATGAACTTCTAAGGAAAAGTTACCTTAAAAAAGAGTAAAGTATTCACTATAGGAATAAACCATAGAGTTACAGTATGATGTGTGTATTGGATGTAGGAGCTTTTCCTTTCTAAAACTAGATTTGGTTCTTCATAGTGAAGAAAAACTTAGTTGTATACTTGGCTCTATTGAATTTGTAAGAAATAGTAGCCTAAAAATAAGGGAAGAATGAAGATTTTGTAAAGAATGGTTATCTAAAATAAAACATAGTAATGAAATGTCTCAATGAGATTTTTGAAGAAAAGTTTAACTAAATGTATATAAAAGGAGTTAAATTTTGGTAAAATTAACAGTTTCACATGTGTGAGAAAATGACTAAGGTATTAAGCTGCATGAGAGGATTCATACTGGGGCATAACTATAGATTTTTTTAAAAGAACTAAGAATTAAGTGCTACCTGAAGATGAAACTTGTATTTAAAAAATACCATCACTGTGTGTGGCAAAGATTGTGGAAGTAATAGTTAATTCATGTTGAAGATAAATAGTATGTATCTTAATGTTTATTATGTATAATGTCTAAA